CAAAGAACCAGCCCAGGAAGTGACTGGGCCATTAAGCAACAGAGGAGTGAAAGGGACACTCAGGAATGCTATTGGGAATGTTGAGGAAATACATGAACTATATTTTCTGTTTGTACCACAGAAAATATAGAAGAGAGATCTGACTTTCTCAGGAACGGAATTGGGACAACTGAGGTGCCAGAGAAGATTCTACATTAGGAGAGAATGCACAGTAGCAAATCATTGGGTCCTGATGGCATTTGTTCAAGAGTTAGAACTCAAATGTGGAATCGCTAAACTACCAGCAGAAATGTAACTTGTTCCACATGCTGGGATAGGTAATAGATGTGGCTTCATTCATGGAAGATCTGGGAAATTACAACACCGTTAGCTTAACAGCTGTTCTTGGAAAATTGGTCGACATGATGATCAAGTAAAACTACATTCAGAGAGTTTTGCTGAAGTATAAGAAGTTTGGATTCGCAAAGATAAATTCTGCTTCTCCAACTTTCTGTAGAGCTTTTTGACAGTATCAACAGATACACAGGTTGGCCCCGCCAATACCAAGGCTTTTTTAAATACAAACATATCCATCCTATTACAGATAGTCCTTAACTTACGACCACAATTGAGCCCAACATTTCTGTGGCTAAGTGAGACATTTGTTAGGTGGGTTTTTACCCTTTTTACATTTTTCTTGCCACAATTAAGTGAATCATTATGGTTATTAAGTTAGTGACACGGCTGTTAAATGAATCCTGCTTTCCTATTGACTTTGCTTGTCATAAGTTCTCAAAAGATGATCACATGACCCTGGGACACCGCGACTGTCATAAGTATGAATCAATTGCCAAGCGTCTGGATTTTAATCACATGACCATGGGGATACTGCAACGGGGATATTTCACCCTGCAGTAAGAGATTGTGTGTATTGCCCAGTGTCTAGAAATTTTAATTTTGCAAAGCAAAGGTGCTCCTGTACAGCAGTTGTAATGAAGCACATGATCTTTACCAATTGAAGGATTCTCTTGGTATTTAGGAAAGGGGACTTCTGTTGGGTATAGGGCATTCTAAAACAACACAGCCCATGCAAATGTGTCTTAGGCACAGGGCAAAGGGGTCGGGAAGAGGTATGGGAAAGAGATGCAGTTAAGATATGTTCCTCATTTCCATGCTTACCTGTGTATGATGCTGTCTTGTCCTTCAACTTGGAAACAGAATTTGGTGCCGGACAAATGTGTCTGGAATGCCAAGATAAGTACCTATTGAGGGTTCTAGGTAAAATTGGTTAGTAATGTTCTTATATGTGTTGCAAGGTCAGGAGGTTTTGTGGACCAACCTTCCTTTTTGTGCAGAATGTCTTTTCTCCGTATGTTCCCATCATTCTTCCGTCTGAGCTCTCTTTGCATGATGTCAGGCTAAAGAGACTGACCATGCTGCACTCTTACTCTGAGACATGATATCCGACTGAGGCGGATACATTCGGGTTATCCTTGCGAGATGAGCTACAAGTTCCAAACACTGGCATATTGATATCAGTAAGGCTGTTGTCAAATTTCTCCAATACTGAAGTCAATGAAAGGGAAATTTCTTGCACGGAGTTTTGGATTGACTGGTAGAATATTGTACACAGAAGAGAATGTGCCCGTCAACTGAAGGGAGATAGTACCCAGCCAAAGCGTTCTCCTCCCCTTCATATGTCTACATGGATATCTATGACAACTATGTTTTACCAGCTTTGTGCCTGTCATATATCTTCCATTTCTTTGGTGCCACAAATCTTGAAATCCCTTATGTCATTATTACTTTTGAGTGCTTTAATTGTAGGATATCCAGGAAGCCCAAGTCAGATTATCACTTGAGCTATCTTCAGTTAAGTTATAACAATTGCATAGATTAAAAAACAAAAACAGGGAACCACAGAATTACAATTTGGGAAAATCTAGAAATTTGTAAAGTTTGAAATAACTCTATTTACCTGCCTTATGTTGCTATTTTCCTCTGGTCATACATTGTTTTTAATCACTATATGAAATTATAGAGTAAAATTGCACAGAGTAAGGAGAATTAAATACTATAATATTATTTTTCAGTCCAACAGTGGCCAGAAACTCATAAGAAAGCACATATGGCATCAACAGCAATATTTATTAATACTAAAGGGAGACAGTTACTGAAAATAAGAGATTCCAGTTTCTTGCCTGACATTTATTTCAGATCCATCTTTGATTTATTTCATATTTTAAAATCCCATGCTTAGTAGACACATCTCATATAAATAATTATATTGCTTTACAAAGTTTATCTTATTTACTCTTGTTCTCATCATCCCCACTTAAAGAATAATTTCTCAGCTTTAATGTATTTAACAGATAACAGAGTTGGAAGGGACCTGGGGGGGTGTCATTCAACCCCTTGCTCAGGCATTTGTTTATTAGCATTTATATACCACATGCTAAGTTTTTTTAATATATAAAATTCATATATTTCCATGCCATTTTAGCAATCTTTCTTCTAGAGCTATATTATTGGGAGTTAAAATTTAGAAAAAATAACTAAGGAACACAGAATACAAAATCAAATCTATAAAGGAGATAGAAGTTGCACTTTTCACTGTGAAACAGCACACAGCTGGGAGTAAGGCATGGCCCAATCTATAAATCTTGTAACATTGTCACTTGCACAGGAAATCAGCTTCATGTTTTTTCCAAAAATATGTGCAGGAAACTACACTTGTACCAACTCTGAAAGCTGCTAAAACCTGCACAGTCAACCTCTTGAATCACACTGGAAATTTTGGTGGGAGGATGCAACAATATATTATTCTTAGATTTATTTATTTTTTATTTTATTTCTCAAGCGATTATAAGATAACAGGTACAAGTATAAACATAGTTATGAATACATGAAATGGATACATATAAGAAAAATAAAAAGAAACAATAGGACCAGGACGGTAGGCACATTGGTGCACTTATACACGCCGCCCTACAGACCTCTTAGGAAAGGGGTGAGGTCAATAGTAGACAGTCTAAGGTTAAAGTTTTGGGGGTTTGGGGAAGAAACCACAGAGTCAGGTAGAATATTCCAGACATTGACCACCCTGTTGCTGAAGTTGTATTTCCTGAAATCAAGTTTGGTGCGGTTTACCTTGAGTTTGTATCTATTGTGTGCTCTTGTATTGTTATGGTTGAAGCTGAAGTATTCATTGACAGGTAGGACATTGCAATCTATAATTTTATGTACTATACTTAGATCAGACCGAAGGCGGCGTAGTTCTAGATTTGGATTCAGTAAGTGTGATAAAGCGTTGAAAATAATGATTGTCAGTATATTTATTTTATATTTAGAGGCCACCTGACTCTGGGCTGTGAAAAGTGCAACTTCTGCCTACATTTTAAAAGTAAGGAACAGAAAAACCACAGATGTCTGGAAGTTAAATCATGGTAACAGGACTTCTTTTCGTGTTGCTTCAAAACATTTTGCTGCTTATCCAAGTAGCTTCTTCAGCCTGAACAAGTTGGTTAGGAGAACCCCCCCAAAAACATACGCAGTGTCAACTAACTAACTTGCTCAGAGTGAAGAAAAAGCAGGAAAAGTACTCGGAAAAGCAAGAAAACAAATAAGCCCAGTTACCATGACTCAACTTCCAGACAACTTGGCCTGGATGATTGAGAACCTTCATTGACTATAAAAACAGAAGAAATAGTTCATGAATGTCTGGAATGCTCACCCCAGGAGAAACAAATTGGGGCTCAGTAGTATCTTCAGGCCTAGGAGTAAAGCCAAGTTTTCAAAGACTTTTGGAAAATGCTTAGAATGGAACACATAAGGATCTCTGGGGATGCTGTTCCAATCCAGAGCCAATGGACAAATCTAAGGCTTATTTTTGTGTAACAATACAGACTGCCAATCTAAACATGTATTTGTTCACTTTTGCCAATTTTGTTGACACAGTTCTTTTATGACCATTGCTTCAGCTTTCCATTCCTTTCCAATTATTGGGCATTATCTGTTATCACACTTTGTATTGAGGGAATATATCACTTAGTATCTTTACATACTTGATTTGGACCATTTTATAAACTTCTCAATGTTCATGCAGCCTGCACAACTACTACAAGCTAACAGATTTAAGAAGAAAATTCTTGCCTTTACCCTGGACACGATTCTATCTCTAGCATACTTCCTTCCAACATCAAACAGCCTTTCTCTTGTATGTCAGCTACTTTAGTTTTACATTTCTTTCCTAATATCATGTATGTTCAATGGTCCCAATATCAGGGGCACTTGCATTGGAGCAAAATGGGCAAGGAAGTGGACATAATCTGAACCACATCCTTTTTTTATGCACACACAATCTTCAATGCATATAGAAAAGGATGGGGCTGGGATTGGCATGCCTCGTCCATGAATTTGAACCTTCTGAACTACCCTGCACAGATACTACTATTTAATATTCTACTATTGTACATTGTATTCACAGAACATGCTATTTATATCTTTTTTTCTGACCAGTAACAATTTTTATGATTTCTCAATGTCCATAAAACTTGCATGAGGACCAAGGCAAGCTGTTGGCAACTATTAGGACCTAACAGAAGTCTTAAGCATCAAGTTAGTGATAGCAGCCTTCTTCTCAGGATCCAGTGAGACAGACCTAAATCCTCTCCACTTCAATGCTATGTAACAGGAACTTTTTTTCATAATAGCTTGGATAGTTTATCAATATTCAGAATGAAATCTACATAGCTAACCCGCATGCTGAATACAGAAGCAAAAAAGTACCATGAAATCTGATTAAGCTCTGTCTAAAAGCATCACAAATCAACTTTGCACTTGAGCTTTCTTCATTAACCAAGCCCTTAAAAAAGTATTTAGATATCAAAGAAAAACAGGCCAATGGGCTACAATCTGGAGGAACAATAGAGTACTCTGTCTTCTGTGTCCACAATCCCAGCAGGTCTACCTCCACCAGCCCTCCTCCTCCCACCTCTCAGCAAGGTTGGTGGCTTACTCACTTCTTCTGGAAGGCCAAGAGGAGTCTCGGATCAAGAATATTCTCTTCAGGTTCCCAGCTGTTGTGCCTAGAAAAGAGGAAAATCACTCACTACAATATATACTCTGCTTTCTTACAACATACAACTCACAATTAGAGGTTTTGTTTATCGTAGGACTGCATTTTGAGGCAAAGCCTATCAGAAGCGCACTACACACTTTGGCTCTCCCTAATTTGTGGAGTTACTACAACTCCCATGACCCCCAACATGGAAGCACTCCTGCTCTGCTGGCTATGAGTAAAGAGAGCTGCAATTTAATCAAACCAGACCGGCATCAGAGGGAAAGCTGGCTTGAAAGTAGTAATTAATTAAAGACTGCCTTGGCCAGCGGAGGACCTAAGCAAACTTGAATAGTAATAAGCACTAGTTTAATTCTGGGATGAAACCTGAATTTTTTTCCCAGCAATTCATTGAAATGTTTGTGCTTTATGACTGGACCCGTTCAATTTACTTAATGGAAAAGGCATGGGAGGCAGTTGGGGGGGGGGGAGTACACTGAGAGGCATTATGAATAACTTGGGCACGTGTGTGGGGAGGGGGACTGGGGTGTAAGAAGAGAAGTCAAGCAGGAAAAGGATAAAAGCAGGGGGGAAAGTCTGGCTTTCAGGAGCAGCTGGCAGGAGGGGGTAAAGGGAGAAGCTCCCCTTTTCATCTGACAACCCTTCACCCCTTCTTCTGCAAGTGGGGCGCGGAGGGGCGCGAAGGGCCCCACCACCACATGCATGAGCGGGAAGATCGGGGTTTCAGAAGCGGATCAACTGGGGGAGCAAAGGACGGTTTTTGCCATTTCAGCGGAGGAGCCTTTACACTACTCCAGGGCTCTCTATGCCGCCCCCCCCCTTTTTTTTGCAACCCTGGAGAAGGAAAGGCGGGTCCCGCGGACTTCAAGAGAAGTTCGTCTTTAGCAGAAGCGGCAAAAAGCGACACATGGAAGCCAAGCAGGGAAACCGTCAGAGCGACCCCCATCAAGAATCGGCGCAATTTTTTTTAAACTAATTACTAAGTAAACAAAAGGTCGGACGGGATGAAACGCTCCCGGGGGAAGAGTTCAAACAAACAAACAAACAAACACCCGCAAGAACCGAAGTAACTTCTAAGCGCCCGCAAGACCAGCCGAGGTTGAAGGCGGTTGTTTCTCCCCTCGCCCAGCCCCAACGTTTCCCCAGCCCTTTTCCGCTTCGGCTGGCAGTTTGCAGCCGCGCCGCCCGCCCGCCCGGGTCTTGTTTTCGCCCGAGTCCCATCATCCCCAAAGCCCCTCAAGCCCCGCCCTGGAGCCCCTCAGCTCAACGGCTGGCTTGGCGCTCAGCTGCTCGCTTCATTGTCCGACTCACTTGGAAGACCAGCCTCTCCACTTCACCAAATACTCCAGCTTGCCCTGTGAGGAGGGAGAGGCGGGGGGGGGGAGGGGGAAGGAGGAGAAGGGGGAAAAAAAAAAGAAGAGGCGCGTTAGAGGAGGGAAGCCGAGGGCGGCAGCAAAAGCAGCGGCGCCGTCGCCCGCCTCGCTGGCCCACCTTGCGAAGCCGCTTGCTGAGGATGCACTCGGCGGCGAAGACCTGCTCTCCCACGCTGCTCAGCTCCTCCATGGCGCCCGACTGGCTCCGCTCGGCTCCCTCTTCCTCGGCCGCCGCCTCCGCTTCTTCCGCCAACACTGACTTGCTCTTCGCGGAGCCAGCGTTGTGCCCGCACAAGGCTTAGAGTCCTCGGGAGCGCGCGCTCCCCTTCGCCCGCCGCCGCCGCTGCCGCCGCCGCCGCCGCCGCCCCCAGTTTCGGCGGCAACGCGCGCCCGCCCCCTCTGCCTCCCTCCCTCCCTCCCTCCGACGCCGAGAGCTTCACTTCGAGCGCACACAATGCAACGCGCGCGCAACCGGCTCCGCCTTCCCACGCCCTGCTCAGGGGCTCCCCAAATTCCCGGTTAGCCAATGAGAAAGGCGGGAGGCGGGGCTTGGGAGCTTGTGGCGGAGAAAGGGAAGCCGAGCTTCGCCTATTGTTTCTTGCGTCGCTTTCTTGGGTTTCTCGACGGCCGAGTTGCTGAGGGCTAAAGAGAAAACGAAAGGACCGAGTTGAGGGAGGGGAGTGAGGGGAGGTCGTTTCTGAAGTTTAAACATTGAGAGAAGAAGGACGCTTGCCTGGCCCGGCCCAGATCCGTCTGGCTGCGCCAGAAATCGGCTCTCGAATAAGTGGAAACGTTTTCGACGGGTTTCGACTTTTTCAACGCTCTCAGGAAGCCTTCGAAGTTTCTTGGTTTTAGAACGCCGGGCATCGAACTTCTTTTCATCCGGTGCGGGAATTCCTAACGACGGCTCTTCTGCATTATTTCATAATGCGCGCCGTTTTGAAAAGTGTTAACTTTCATCCTCGTTCTTCATTTTCTCACGACTCTTAAGAGAGTAAAGTGGAATCCCAACTCCTGACTTTATCTCTGGCCTCCTACGGGGTGCTTTCTCAGCTTTTTTTTTGGTGCAGCATCTATCCTGGAGCGCTCAGACAGTCTTCCATCCTAACCCGTAGTGGGACCCTCTTAACTTGTCTTGGATTTGTCACCCAAGGGACAAACGATCTCGTCAGGAAATCAGTTAAGAAATGCAGCAGTGTTCAAAAATTAAAGTTACGATCCCCCCCCCCCCCCTTGTTTGAATTAAATGTTTGGAAAGAAGGCTTTCGAGAAAGGGAAAAGAAACCAAATACGAGTTTCTGCAGTTTCCATCTGCTTCAGCATTGCTGAGAAACAAGTATGGTGATTTTAATGAGGTGCTGTGGAATAATTGAGTTGTAAATTATGAGCTGAACAAGTGGATCTTGTCTGAAAATCTGAGGATGAATTTAGATGGAAGTTGGATACATGAAATCGAGCATAGATAATTTCATTATATTTTGACATGGGATCCTCCTGGAACGAATAATAAATTGTCTGTAGATACATGATTCAAATAATCAAGATTGGATGAATTTTGGCACATGTGCAGCAAAAAAGTGTGTCAGAGGGGTGCATCTTCTTGATTTTGTCTTAAAAAAATAATGCAAAAATTCACAAAAAATTATCTGATCACCATGGATCTGGCAGTGCTATAAGACAAATACAATGATCTGAGACACATATCCTCATATTTTTTTCAAGAACTCCTTTAATAACCGATCACATCAATTTTATGGATGCTACAGTTTAGGAAACAGATTTTTTGACATTTCCCTGTTACAAAATTCACAGATCATCAGTTGGCATGCAAAGAATCATGTCATGCAAAATGGATTCAACTCAAAAAGTTCATTTTATTGTTATGTATTTTACATGGGATGCACATAAAATCAGTATCAGATATAGTATGTCTACATGCACTGAACTTTAGTAATCAATAATCTATTTTATCAAATACTGATTTTAAAGAATGGATCCTCTTGATTGTGTATAAATTCTACAGGTGATTCATGTGAAACCATCATTAGATCACATCCATTATATTGATTCCTTCAAAAAATTTTATCCAATTGTTCTGTCATCACTATGGCACAAAAACATAGATGTGATGTATAGATCTTCACAGAACTACACTTTTTATCTGCAATCCTCATGAAACCACAATCACATTAGTTACACCCATTTACACATAGGAACCCAACAATTTTGGAGGTCCTATATCACTAAAATGTAGAGATGAGTCATTGAGCTTTGTGGATCAACATGATTTCACAAGGGATTCTCATAAAGCCAACATAAATTCAGAAATATTTGCAAACGAGTCCATCATAATCACACTTTCAAAATTTGGAGTCACCAGGTCCCCAAAATGATTGCTATTCAAGTTACAGAACTACAGTATAAGGGTACATTTGATTTAATGTCTTATCAAATCACATGTTGCATTTTAGGATTTAGTGCATTGGACAATAAAAATCTGAAGATTTTTGTGCCAGAAAACCATAAACTGAAGTCATTGGATCAATTTAATTATACATGGTTTGTACATATGATTCACATGCAAGAACAATAAAATCCATGTTCCTCTGCATTCAATGAACCTTTAAAGCTATGGATCAAATAGGTGCCGGCATTGTTTTGGTACAAAAATAGGGATCTGCATTCACGCAAGTTTCAGATGAGATCTTCAGGACACCAGAATTAAATCACAATTGATCTGGATGACATGATTATCCTGAATCCTTCATTTTGTGATAATGGCATGGTATAAAAATATGAAGCCAAAGTATGGATCGTCTACATATGATACCTTGACTCAGTTAGACCCATCATCGAATTATAGGAATATTCATCTGCACAGAATCCCTACAATTTGGATTTGATTGTACACAAATTCAGAACTGAAGTGATAATCTTCATGTAACTATCTGATTGTAGAAGGTATTTGTCTGAACAAAATAAATAATCACAATCACAAATTTACTACCAAAGGTGCCAAAGTAGCAATAAAATAATACAAGGTATAAATTCCAGGGAGGGATACACATTTCATTCCCCCTCACAAGGAATCTGTCTGAATCTAATCTAAAATATGTATCACGTATACCTGAAGGTTAGTAAGAAGAAATAAAAAGACAAATCTATGTTTAAATGATTCCTTCTGTCCAAATGATGTCATCTATTATTTGACAATGATTTCATGCAAATTCCTTACAACATTCATGGTTTTTGCATATGATAGTTTTGAAAATCCAGATGCATGGTTGTGATGACTCATACTGATTTGCACATGGGACCTCTCTGGATCTGATATAAAAACATGTATTATATACACATAAAAATAAGAGTAAAAATCATAAATCTGCAATTCAATATCTCATTCTTGCTGACATAATCTGTCATATGAAAGTTGGTTCTTAAAAATCATATCTAAAAGAATATAAATGAAAAAGTATAAGTTATCCTTACTGAACTTCAAATTGAACCTACTTGGTTAACATACTACACATCATTAATTAACTACAAACGAGACACAATTATTAAATTGCTAGAAAACAAGCTGAAATATGATCCTATAGAAAAGAAAACCCAAATCTCAGATGTGACGCATCACAGATAACATTATATGAATAGTTCTATACCAAGAACAATTTCCAATTGGAAGTAAATTCTATGTCATTTAGATAGCAAATTATTCTTCACATTAAAGGATATGCATATGATGGTTAATTCATGAAAATCTTGTGTAAAAACCATATCAGCCCATGAAGATCCTCGCAGGTGCATGCATGTGTGTGTGTGTGTGCGATGTGTATGTGATAGCAGGATGCTAACCTTGAAATTCATGATTACAATGGCTCATGCAGATAGATATGAATTTAAATACTGGTCTGTGACCATAATAAAAATTGATTGGTTGATTGGTATGAATTTTCCAAGCAGTTTTACCTTTCCTCCAATTTTTAAAAATTAGTCACTTCTGCATGACCACACAGAATATGGAGACTTTATTTTAAATCATTGCAAGAAGTTCCACTGTAGTTCTTAGGAAAGAATGACCAATGATCTATAAATTATATTTGTTTATGTATTATTTATTTATTAAATTTATATGGCATCTATCTCACTGATAAGGCTTCTCTGAGCAACTTCACCATGTATACTCTACTGTTTGATACTCTGGAGCATTAATTTTGTAACCTTCATTCAGGATATTAAGAGTAAAAAACGGGGGAGAAATGGAAACAACAACAACATGAACATCTTTTGAGGCTTTTGGATTTTCTCAAATGGGTGACTGATTCCCTCTTCCCCAGCTGCCATTACCAACCTCACATAAAAGGCCCAGTCAACTAATTCTTTATCAAATCAAAGCAAGACCTTTTTCTTGAAAGTCTCTTAAAAATTTAGGATGAGGAGGTCGGATTTGACTTTGATGTCAGGAACTCTTTTTGATGTAAAATTTTCTTTTACATCTATTTTCATCAATTACAGGCTGTAAAAATAATTCCTAATAGTACCATACCTCCTCAAAATGATTGCCTTATTACCATCTCAAGGCTTTTCCCCACACCCCTGGCAAGATGCAATCCTCTTGTCCTTGAACAAAAGGAGGTAAGTAGGTTACTTGGAAAACTGCTTCCTCCACAGCTTTTCCTTTGTTACACCTCTAAAAGAGGCTGACAGAGAGACAGTGATTTACTGCTGCCGCCAGATGAATGGAAAAGGGAATTCTTCTCCTACTCTGCTGGCTCCTTCCTTCCCCCTCTCATTAGCCAAGCCTGGATCCTCTGCCCTCCACTACCCCATATTTTAGTTCCATGCTTGTTGGAGAGCCCCACCATTGGGCAAAGTGTGAATCTTTCCAAGAACAGTGGCTAGTTGTAGCTGTTGGTGTTGGGAGCAGCATTCTGTGTACCTAGTAGGAAAGTACCAAAGTAGCAGTGGGGTATCCCAAGGTTCAGTCGTAGGCCAGTTCTCTTCTATATCTTAATAAACAATTTAGATGAGAGAATAGAAGGGGAACTCAGATAACACCAAGCAGGCAGGAGCACCCAACAAGATAGGGTCTAGATCTAGAAGGATCTCAACAGACTTGAACACTGGGCCCTATCTAACCAAATGAAATTCAATATAGAGAAAAGTAAGATTTTAACACTTAGGCAAGAAAAAACAAATGTACAGGTATAGAATGTGTGGAACCTGAATCAATAGCAGTAACCGCAAGAAGGATCTTGGAGTTCTAGTGGACAATCACTTAAATATGAGCAAGCAATATGCTGCAGCCACCAAAAATGCAATGCAAT